ATATATACCTGTGATTATTAAATAAAGAGTGATTGCATTGAATGGTGGTCTGGCGAATTCCAACACTTTCTCTGAGAAATGCTACCGGTACCTAACTAAAAGACAAAAATATAGAAAAAAATAAATGCAATAATTTATGCATTGTCTAATTATTCATCAAAAAGGGACTGTAATTCAATCGGCTGCGCGATATTCTGTGATAACGTACACTGTTAAGTCTTTTTTTATTATTGTTATTATTTTGATTTATGTCACATGTATGGTTAATAAAAAATCAACCAAAGTGAGGATATACGTGTTGCCACTGCAATTGTTAAATTTTATGTGCCACCAATTTTCTTGATTAGTTTAGAACAGCTGGTGAGACCGAATATGCCCATTTAAAATAGTTACGAATCCGATTAGGCTTATATCGTTAGCGATTATTACTATCCTAGGCCTTAAGGGTGTAAAAAAAGCACTTCTAACGATGAATGTTCTGAGAACTTTAGGGACCCTATCACAAATCCTGCACTGGGGCCGTTTTGTACCAGCTACGCCGCTGAGTCGGGTCAGAATTTGCTTAACGGGGTAAGATATTCCGTGGAGGGGTAATTAAGTTCCAGACTCAGATTGTTTTATTAAACCATATAAATAACATAATTTACTATAATAAGTGGTCAGCAGACTCTATAGATACTAATTATATTTTTCTATTCTAACATTCGGTTTTAGCTACTGTACCCTAAAAAAAATATTTAAAAAATCGTTAACTTAAGTTTCAAATTAATAAGTGACCAATTACGTAGTTTATCTTCTTTTTGTGACAAGCAAATTTAAAAAAAAATTAAAAGAATTTTACAAAATGTAACTCACGCTATGATCAGTGAGTTCGAGCTCTTGCCTCATGGTCGCCGTTTTCTACTCACTAACCGGAAGAGAAATTCGATCGTGCCCGTTTCCATTTGTGAGTGATTGTATTGTATTTTAAGATGTAATGCATTTTAAGCTTTTTTAATCCAGATTCCTTTGATTCTTTTAATGAATTTTATTGTATTTTATGACAATGGTTTTTTTTTGTTTTTTTGTTTTTTTAAAAATCTTTTTAGCTTGAAATCCAGATCCTTTTATTGAATTGCCCCATGTGGGATGAATAAAGATATATTGTATTGTATTGTATTGTAAATTCACCAAGAGTCCTTTCGAATTTAGTTTATCAAAAAGTTCTTAGTTAATTTGTCCAATGGGCAGATTGCTTTTGTACTTTCTACTTCAGTTGTTTTGAAGAGGTTTTTATAAGTAAAGATTGTCCTATTATTTTTGCAAATAATAGCTGTCCATGGATCAGTTTCGTATTGTGATGAGTTGTCCAGAGTCTATCGGTGGTAAATGTCATAACACTTCAGTTGTTATGCTTTATTCAATGCTAGCAACTTAATCAAACAATTTTGATGATTTGCATGAAATCTCAAGCACCTATTAGTGAGACCTGGTTTAATGCTTCAATTAAGAACTCGCTCGGAAATCATTCAAACTTTTATTATCATACAAAGCTAACAATACAAATCGTTAGCTTCATAGCTTTGCTTGCTGATAGCTGTGCACGATCACCAGCATACAGTTTCGAGGTCTAAATATTATATAATATACAATTCAAATTATGTCAGCTGCGTGAGCACCGTAATCACTATGTATACAAATAGATACATTTTAACAGGTAGGCACATATTATTCGAATAAATGTCCTGGGGCGCTTATTGTTGAGAAGGGTTTATAAGGAGGCGTTTATTCGAGGGAGGCGTTTATTCGAAGGAGGCGTTTATTGTTTTGGTGGTGTAGAATGAATACGAATATACGCAAATAAATGTCCTTAATCTCTAAGTAAATATGGAAATGCAACACATAATTACCGCTAAAATGTGTTATTGCATGATCCTAAAGACTTATTAATCCCTACCAGTTTAGAAAAATGTAATTCTACTGGAGTAGAATATTAACATAATGTGTCTTGAGAATGATATTGCTTCCTTTAGTTTTGTTTACAATCATTTGGGAGGGGGCGTTTATTTGAGGGAGGCGTTTTTTTTAAAAATCAAATAAGACTCTAAAAGGGAGTTTATTTGAGAGGTTCAAAGCGTTTTATTGGAATAAATACGGTATTTGATTGTTGAGTAGCATATTACATTACTTTGGCTGTGCATTCTTATAAACTTAATGAGCCGCTGAAAATTATTACCTCACTTTGGTAGGTTTCATTTTATGTAAAATTAGGCTACATTGCAAAATAAACTAAATAGATTAATACTTTAAGTTGCAATTATTACTAATACAAAATACTGTCATATGACACGTACTATAGAATTACAACTTACCTATTTAGAATATACATTAGGATTTAAGGAGAAAAAAAAACCAGTTTTGATTCGAAAGGTTTACCCTTACCAGGAAGTTTTCAACCGGATGTTTAAGAGGTAGTCATATTTTTTAAGTGAGGTCTGTCCTACGATAGCTCTTAAAATTAATTGCCAATCGAAACCCCCTTCTTATTTCAGCCCTAGATTTTCCTTTATCAAGATGAGCCCACGGTGCAATATTTAGTTCTGCCGTTTTTAACACAGATAAAGCTACAGCATGTCCGCAACTGCTAGCATCCTTATGCCTGGAAATGATGGATTTCTTGAATCAACCAACTTCTTACATAATTCGCCAATTAATATTATGAATGCATCATATGAATTGTGCTCTACTCAAGAAGCCAGTGGACAGATCAATAGAGCTATATTTGTTGGAGATGCTATAAGGCAACCAGAATTACAAGAACAAGCGAGTGAACTTAGAAGGCAACCAGAATTACAAGAACGGGCGAGTAGAATGATACATCATATAAACGTGCTTGAGCAAAACGATGATGAGGAGACAGACAGACCAACTGTTTTCGTGGGTCGGTCTGGTGATGATGGCACCGGCATGACCCAACTGGAGATGGCATTGATGACTCCTGTATACAATAATATTAATCCCCTCTCAAATTTCAGATTTCACCCATATTCCAGGTATCGCAAAGGTTTCAGGTGCTGTCCCGACAAAGAAGAGGCCGTTATGTGTGTTGTGATGTTCGTTGTCATGATAACCATGTTCGCATTTATCATGATGTTATGTGTAATCGGTATTATTCCTACTGCGAATGACGGTAAGGCTGTGTTATGATTTTTTTGCTGTCACCTATAAGCTGATTTTATCTTAACCCTAGCTCCACTGTGTGAGAACATAGAGAAGTTAGTTGTGGAAAGTGCCCGGGTTAAATTTGCTCTTATAAGGTATGTCTATGTGGCATAAAGATAAGATACAGAAAAACTCCTCCTTTGGGACACCCCTGTTCAGGGGACACCCCTATTAAGTGTACACTTTTCCGTGAAACGAGGGGCAATATATCTTTTAACACTACGGTCGACCCCTATTAGGCC